GGCGCAGGCAGCAGCGCTCCAGGCGCGCCTCGTCGATGCCCCAGTAGGCCAGCTCGTCGCGGAAGGCCAGCGCGCACGGGCCGCGCAGCAGCCGCAGCTTCCCGGCGCGCAGCAGCGCCACGATGGCGCGGAAGGCGCACGGGCTGCGGTCGAAGAAGAACTCGTCGCGGCTCACGTCGTAGTCGTCGCAGACGCGCAGCAGCTCGTCGTGGCCGCGGCAGGCCCGCAGGCGCTCGAGGCGCGCGAGGGGACAGCGCGCCAGCGCCGCCCAGGCCAGGCGCACGCGGCAGCCGCCCACGTTGATGATGACGTGCCGGGGCGCGGCCCTGTCCCTGCCCCTGCCGCCGCCGAGGCCGCCTCCGCCGGGGGGCTGCGCGCCCGGGGGCTCTGCGGGCCCGGGCAGCAAGGCCATGGCCTGAGCGCCGCGCCGAGGGCCCGCAGAGGTCGTAGCGCCGCGCCGGGGTCTGCCGGCTGGGCCTGCAAAAGGAAAGGCGGGCGTTAGTGCGCGAGGGCGGGACAGCGCAGGACAGCCCCACCCGGGAGGGCCCCCCACGCTGCTTTCCTGCTACCAATAAGCCAGACAGCGGCCCCCAGCTCGCCAGCACGGCCGGCCGAGTGGCTTACGGCCTAGAGCGGCCGTGCGCAACCTGTTTGGCACCAGGCGCCGGGTCCACGGAAGACAGTTTTTCCATGGACTTGGGGGATGGTTTCAGGATGATTCAAGTGCATTACATTTGTTGTGCAGTCAAACCTCTCTGGTGATGATAACCTGTGTGTGCAGCCGCTCCCCAGAGCTAGCATCACCGCCTCAGCTCCACCTCAGATCACCGGGCATTAGATTCTCACAAGGAGCCACAACCTGGATCCCTCCATGCACAGTTTACAGCAGGGTCCGCGCTCCTGTGAGAATCTGCTGCTGCTGATCCGACAGGGGGCGGAGCCCAGGCGGTGATGCGAGCCATGGGGAGCGGCTGTAAACACAGACGAAGCTTCGCGTGCTCACCCGCCTCTCACCTCCTGCTGTGCGGCTGGTTCCTAACAGGCCAGATGGCACCGGGGTTGGGGGCCGCAGGCCTAGAGAACAGCGAAACGTTCTCAAAGTACAGGCCGTGGAACACACGGTCGAGGGAAGGTTTTATAGATGCCTGGGCCCCGGCAGATGCTGCCTCAGTGGTCCCAGCCGGGGCTGGTTGTTGGCATGTTTAGAAATAAAACCACCTGCTCTTTAGCAAACAGAGCTCGGGGCTGTGGTGGCGGCGCCTGGCATTATGACGGAGAAACTTCAGGAACGTCAGCCATGCGTGGTGTGGATGGGAGTAGAAGGAACCAACAGTAAGAAGACATGCAGGAGTCAATGGAAAACCTCAGCACTGCATAGGAGTCAAAGGGATTTTTTTAAAGGTCTAACGGCTTTCTGGTATGTGGGAAACGGGCAAGAAATGTTTAATCTCTCAGAGTCGGCAGGGAGGTGTTCGCAGGGGAGTGACGTAGGGTGGGGCGGTGCGGACGAAACACCTCCCCGACCGTCGCAGCTGCCGGAGTTGGGCGATGGGCACGTGAGGGTTCACTGTACTTTTCTCTTCACACGTGTGCATGGTTAACATTTCCATAACAAAAGAAAGGTTTGTTTTGCTTTTAAAAAAGCCTCCAGGTATTGCTGTGCAGCTGGAGTGGAGAACCCCTGACCGTAGAGAAGTCGAAACTCAGCGCCTGATTCTTCCGTCAGCCTCCGTTTCTCCAAATCAGAGTTTCTTTATTTGGTGTCCACAAACATTCCTCAAAGGGTCCATGAACCTTCTAAAATCACACACAGACTTTTGTGTCCATGCAGTTTGTTGCACTAGGGCCGCAGTCTCGAGAGCACCGCTTTAAAGAGGGTGTGTTAGTGACGTCAACCACCGTGACCCTCACAGGGGTTTCTGGTTCCTGTGTCCACGCTGCTGACGGGCGATTCCATTCCTCCTCCAAACCTGCTCAAGATATTTCGCTCTTTGCTTGCTGAAATGACGGGGCCAGACTTGCAGCAGTCGGCGCTCTGTGTACTGTGGCGGCAGCCGCAAGGCAATGGTGAGGCCCCGTGTGGGTGCAGGACACTGTTCAGAACGGGTCCCGCCGGTCAGGGAGGACCTCGGATATCGGGGGGAGAGACAGTCCCAGCCTAGTGATCTCAAAGTGTGTGTGCTGGCCAACGCCAAAGTCCCCGAGACCTGCTAGACGAGGATATTCCTGCCCCCTGCACATTCTGAGTAACGGGGAAATCACAGAACAAGGAGCCCCAAAGTCCATCCCTCCCTTAAAGCAATGGAAAAAGGGTAAAAAACTGTCAGAGCCGACTTTTTTTGAACTCTGGAAACTAACCACGGAACACTTAAGAAACAGCAGGTGAGTCTCAGTAACCATCATGAGCTTTGCAGCATTTTAACACACCCGGCTCTCAGCCCAGCCCAAGCCCTGACAACAGCGGCCTGAGTCCTGCCCCGGCGCTGGTGCCGCAGCAGCAGAGAGACCCACTTCGCTGGGAACTGCAGCTGCTCTCACCGTCCTGCTGGCTCCAGGAAGTCAGACTCACAGCACTTGCCCTGGAATGTTCCCGGCACTAAGGCAGCCACCTGGGGAATGTTGGTCAAAGACACCTGCAGGCAAGTTCTAGTGACTGCTGACTGAGGCAGAGGAGGAGAGTTGGGACAGACAACCAGCCAACTGAAAGGCCAGGGAGGAAAGGCTGGAGAATAGGGCTGAAAAGTTCCAGCAGATTCCTGGGACTCCAGGATGCCACGTGCGTGCCAGGGCTGTGCACGTCTCAGCAAAGACCGACGAGCCCCTCAGGTTTCTCCTCTGCTGACCCCAGACGGCGAGCAGCAGGTGAGGACGGGGCAGAAGTGTGAGCGGCCTGGCCGAGGGGCGAAGGTGAGCCCGTCTGCAAACACTAGTTTTGGTTTTTGTTTCAGGCATTTAAGAATCTATGTCCAATTTTTTGCTGACTACTAAGTTAACCGAACAGAACATCAGTGGCTGCGTAAGACAAAAAATACAGACTTTATAAATTTAGTTCAGAAAAGTTACTAAACAAACAATAGTAGCTACGACAAATCCTGGGGAGGGGGGAGAATCTGATTTCTAAGGAACAAAAAAAGATGTAAGACACAGAAAGCCAATAGCAAACTGGTAGAAGTCCTTCCTTATCAGTAATCACCTTAAATGTAAATGGATTAAATTCAACAATTAAAAGAGATTGGCATAATGGATTAAAATAAAACCAAAAACTATGATCCAAGTATAGGCTGGCTCATGCCACAGAAGACTCTCTGTAGATCCAAAGACAAATATGCTCAAAGTAAAAGGATAGAAAAAGAGCTGGAATGGCTGCACCAGTATCTTTTAGGATAGATTTTCAGACAAAAATTGTTGTGAGAGACAAAAGATCAACCCATGAACAGCTACACACCAACAACTTAAATAATGTAGGTGACATGGACGAATTCCTCAAGACACAAACCACCAACACTGACTCAAGGAGAAAAGAAAACCTAAATATGCCAAGAACAAAGAAAGAGACCGAATTGGTAATCAAGAAAATTCTAGAAAAGAAAATCCCAGCACAAGATGGCTTGACTGGCAAATTCTACCCAATGTTTAAAGAAATAATTAACACCAATTCTACTCAAACTTATCCAAAAAATAAAGAGGAAGGAATACTTCCTAACTCATTCTTTGAGGAGATAAAGGTATCATAGGAAAAGAAAACAGCAAACGATATCTCTTATCGATATGGATAAAAATCCTCCACACGGCACGAGGTGGTCCACAGCCACCCAGTGAGGGCGGCTCAGACCCGGCCTGTGGCAGCCACAGGCACCGGCGGGAGGTCTGAGAGGAGACCAGGATGGTACGGCAGGGTGGGTGCCACGTGAGAACCACGTATGTGAGAACTGTGTGTGACAGCCATGTGTGACAGCCATGTGTGACAGCCGTGTGTGACAGCCACATGTGTGACAGCCGTGTGTGGCAGTGGTGACAGCCATTGCATTCAGCCCGCACAGCCCTGAGGGCGGCTGCAGCTCCAGCCCTCTCCCTCTGCCTCAGGCGTTTGCTGTGCTCACTAAGATCAGCCAACCCTGCTGTCAGGAACACGCGTGTCCTGGTCCCTTATCTCCTTCTCCATGGGGCCAGGCCGCGCCAGGGTCGCTGTGGGCCCCTCAGCTACACAGGCCCTCCCAGCTGCGCCGTGGTTTCCCTCCAGGCTCAGCCAATGTTCCGGATCCCCCAGTCAGGCCACGGAACGTCTCTACCGGAGCAGTTTAACATCGCGAGAAGGCGCAAACCGCATATTCCTGCCACGTGCTCATGTCAACTCCACGGAAATCCACTTGTGGAAGGAAAGCAGTGGGTTGGAACAGCTCAGTGTCTCCTGCCCACACCAGCTCCACCCGCACCTGCCTTCGTGGGAAGCTTCAATGCACCACCTCCATGACTACGGGGACACAGGGAGCCACAGCGCCGGACGGAGCAGCAACCGGAGACGGGCGGGCAGAGGTAAGGGGGCCCCACAGAGGGCAGAGCCTCGCACAGGGACCCTGGTCTCGGGGACCTGCTGCTGGTCCCCCAGGCCTGCCCCTCTGTAGGAGGGAATGGGGCTGCCTCGCATCTCGGCGAGTGGCACCCTGACCCTGACACGCCACAGCGCTTGGGCCGGTTCTGGCCTGTGCGGTCTCTCGAGGTTTAACGCTTCCCGTGAGTGTGCAAAGCCATCCTAGAGCACCGGACTACATGCCCGGCAGGGCCCGGTTCAGTCCCTGTCAATCTCCGGTCATCCCCTTCCCCACCGGCCCAGCACCCGGCCCTGCAGAGCCCGAGGCTTCGCCTGGATTAACGGGTCAGGTTTGTGGAAACAGATCATTGCATGACCCCAAGAAATGTTTTGTATTGATTATACTTAAGTATTTAATTTTTTAGAGTGATTGTAAATAGTCTTGTGTTTTTAGCTTTGGTTTCACATGTTAATTATTGGTATATAGAAATGCAAGCAATTTTTTTAAACAATTTTTTTTTTTTTTTTTTTTTTTAGAGATTGGGTCTTGCCACGTTGGCCTGTCTGGATTCAAACTCCTGGGCTCAAGTGATCCTCCTGCCTCAGCCTCCCAAGTACCTGGGATTATAGGCATGAGCCGCCAAACTTGGCTGTAAGCAATTTTTTGTTGTTGTTTTAATCTTTTACCCTACAACTTTGCTGAACTCATTTATTGCTTCTAGGATGATTTTTATGGTATGTTTCTTGGAAGAAATTTCTGAATAGATAATCATGACATCTGCAAATAGGGATAGTTACATTTCTTCCTTTCTGACTTGTATGCCATGTATTTCCCTTTCTTGCCTTATTTAACTTCCAGTGCTATGCTGAGTAACAGCGGTGAGAGTGGACATCTTTGCAGTGTTCCTCATCTTGGAGGGAAGGCATTAGTGTTGCACCCTCAGGTATGATATTACCTGTAGGTTTTCTTGTAGATGTTCTTTACCAAATTGAGGGTCTACTTCTGGTTTTCTGGGAGTTTTTATTACTGCTAGGTGTTGGATTTTGTCAAAAGCTTTTCTGCATCAATTGATATGATTATATATCTCTTCTGTTGATGTGGTGATTATATGGATTGATTTTGAAATTGAACCAGCCGTGCACACCTGGATAAAATCTCACTTGCCTCAGAAAATCTATCCATTGCTGGATCCAATTTGGTAATATTTTGTTGAGGATTTTGCATCTAAATTCATGAGAAATATTGATGTACCATTTTCTTTTTCGTAATATCTGTATCTAGTGTGGTCACAGGTAGTGCTGACCTCATACGGTAAGTTAGGAAGTATTCACTCCTCTTCTTTGAATGTTTGGTAGAATTTTCCAGTAAAACCACCTGGGCCTGGAAATGTCTTTTTTAGGAGTTTTTAAAGAATTAATTCAATTTTATAACTTATATTATTGAGACCTTTCCTCTTTTCTAAGTCCGTAAGCATTCGGTGCTATAAATTTCCCTCTCAGAACTGTTTTGGCTGCACCCTGGATATTTTGATCTGTTGTAATTTCATTTCCATTTAGTTCTATGTATTTTAAAATTTCCTTTGTGGCTTCCTCTGTGACCCACAGATAATTTAAAAGTATGCTATTTGATCTCTAAGCATTTAGAGATTTTCCTGTTGTGTTTCTGCTCTGCTTCTCAAATCTGTAGGTTTATGTCTTTTGCCAAATTTGGGAGATTTTCAGGCATTCTTTCTTCACATATTTTTTTTCAGCCCCACTCTCTTTTTCTTCTTTCTGGGACCTCATAATATGAATGTTGATACTTCTGTTTTTT